TTGTCATTTTTGTTTTCTATTTACCAGTTCATTCATTATAAGATGAAAGAAAGATGAATAAATCCCAGAATGAGAAGAATGCACAAGTAATGATGATGACATTCTTATTTTAATTATGTAAAGATGGTTTTGGTAGTTCATTTGTTATTTAAACATCTCATCATCATCACAATCTCATCATTTCAAACAGTTAAATATCCTGTAATCAACAAAAAGAATGTTGTAAGAAAGAATGTCAAGAGAAAGAATGTTGTAAAGAGTATTGTTGTAAAGAATATTGTAAGAAAGAATGTTGTTGTCCAAGAATTAAAGCATTTAAGAAATTTATGAACACATTTGAAAAAGCACAAATTGGAAAAGAAGCACCAGAATTTAAAGCACAAGCATATTGTCCATGTGGTTCAATCAAAGAAATTGATATTAATGAATATAAAGGGAAATATGTTGTGTTATTATTTTATCCATTGGATTGGACATTTGTTTGTCCAACAGAAATGATTGGATATAGTGAAGTTGCAGGACAATTGAAAGAAATCAATTGTGAAGTTATTGGAGTGAGTGTTGATTCAGTTTATTGTCATCAAGCATGGTGTGAAGCAGATAAAAGTAAAGGAGGAGTAGGAAAATTAGGATTCCCATTAGTATCAGATATTAAAAGATGTATTTCAATTAAATATGGAATGTTAAATGTAGAGACAGGAGTTTCAAGAAGAGGATATGTCATTATTGATGATAAAGGAAAAGTAAGATACATTCAAATGAATGATGAAAGAATTGGAAGATCAACAGAAGAAACTATTAGAATAGTTAAAGCAATTCAATTTAGTGAAGAACATGGAACAGTTTGTCCAATCAATTGGAAAGCAGGGAAAGACACAATTGAACCAACACCAGAAGGAATCAAGAAATATTTAACAACACATTAAAATAAACAAGATATTTTAATAAATAAATTTTATTATTAAGAAGAAAATGATAATAAACATATAAAATAAAGAATAAACATAATAATTTAATAAATGAATAGAAGTTAAAAGAAACAATAATAAAATAAAAAGAAATAATAATGAATATTTTAAATAATATAATAATTAAACAATAAAATGATATAAACAAATGAATAAATATTTTATATAATATTTCAATTATTATTTATTTCTTTCTTTTATATTATTCTTTATTCTATTTGACTTATTCATTATTTTTACATTTCTTATATTTATTCTTTTTACTTTTTATTATTTATATTTATTCTTTTATCTCTTATTCTTACATTCTCTCTCTATTTTATTTTTCTTCTATGTTATTTTACTTCTCAATCATTATTAT